GAAGGAAGGTTGGGCAATCCTACTTCCGTAGTGATAACTGCCTCGGAAACCCAAGGAGGTGTCGCTAGGAGTCGGGGCCGACTCGATGGCAAATAACAACAACAACAACATTGTGTAGAGTAATAGAGATACTATAGATTCTCAAACCAATCTTGCTTTCTTCTTTTCACTCCCCAGCCTCCTCCTAACCTTTGCTTGGCTGGTAGAGGTGGAATGGGTATCAGATGTTAGCTCTTAATCACATAGCCTGAGGTAAACTGTGGCCCATAATCTCTCCCCCAATGTTGTTTTTATTGTAGTGTGTCTGAAATGTGATCTCCAAGAGCGACTTCTCAGCCCATCTCTGCTTCCTGGCACAGCTGATGGCTCCTTGAGAATGGATGACCCCAAAGGAGACTTCAGCACACTCTACCAGATGGCTTCCCAGTCAACAGCCTCTCAATATAAGCTACGGGTGATTAAGTATGTTCTAAAAGCACCTCCCCAATCCATGTGAATACTCATTCTTACTGGTTCCATGGCTAGGTAGTCCAGAGATGGAGAGCATCTCTGAGCATTAGGCAAGCAGGCAGGAATCAGTTCTAAAGCAGCAATTACATGTGTGGGCATGAAAGAGCAAGCAGAAAGACCAAATGAGAAGATGGTGGGAGGTGTACCTCAGTAGACATTCTGAGGATGAGTATTGGAAATCCAGAAACTATCTGAACACAGAGGAAAACTAGATTAGTACAAAGTTAAAAAAAAAAAAAAAAGGTTCACACATTTTGAATGTTTACAAGTGGCAGCCATTTTGAATATTTAAAGTGACTGAGGGTGCAGCTAATTTGAATGTTTACAAGCAGTGGCCATTTTGGATATTTAAAGTGACCAAGGGTATAGCCATTTTGAATGTTTCCAATCAGTGGCCATTTTGTATTTTAAAGTGACAGCATTCTCATTCAGATTCCAGGGACCTAAGAATAAATTCTGTTTGCCAAAGACAGTAGGGACATATGGGAGGCTGACAATGGGAAAGGAGAGAAGTGGTGAGTGTATAAGTGCTGTCAACTAGCAAATAGAGGAGCACAGTACCTGCTTACTTAGATAAAATCCAAAGAAAACAAAAATCGTGGGCAAGTCACTTCAACATACAATCACCAATAAAATATAAACACAAAAATGTAATAATGCCTCAGAGACAACAGAGCATCACAGTGCACACAAAGAAACAAGATAAAGCAGGAGAAACAAGGGACCAGGATACAGACCCAAAACACATCCCTGAGGAAGACGCAGCATTGGAACTCCCTGATAAGGAATTCAAAAGAATTATATTTAGGTATCTTCAATGAATTGAAAAACAGATCAAGGAAAACACTGGCAAAATTGAGGAAAACCCTAGAACAATTTCGAAAGATAATACAGGAACAAAATGACAAAATAAATGAAAAATTAGAAATGATACAAAATCTACACATAGAAATCCAGAAGATTAATACTATATTTTCAGAAGTAGATAAGACATTGAACGAGCAAAGGAGTAGAATTGAATCAATGGAAGATAGAATTAGTGAGATTGAAGGCAAATATTGCACTACTTCTTTAGAAAGCAATCAATTAGAAAAAAGATCAAAACAAAATGAAGAAAGCCTAAGGTTCATGTGGGATACCATCAAAAGGAATAACCTACATATAATTGGAATTCCAGAATAGGAAGAGACAAATAAAACCACAGAAAAAATGGTCCAAGATTTGTCAGAAGAGAATTTTCCTGGTATGATGAAAAATGAGAATATATCCATTCAAGACGCCCAACGAACCCCAAACAGGATAGACCCCAAAAGAAAATCACCAAGACATATCATCATCAAACTCACCAAAACCAAAGACAAAGAAAGAAT